TGCATTCGATACTTAATTTATTCTTAACTAAGTTGATTTGTATGAGAGCTCTTTCTACTTAATTAGCGACCTGAACTAAATAAACAATTTTAATGAAGGCAATGGGAATATACTATAAAAACTTAAACTTAGCTAAAAATCTCTGACTCATGTAATATAAGCTAAAATACTAAAATATATCATTTATTTACGTATTTCGGTTGATTGATAGCAACTTTTAAAAAATGTGATACACATTCATAATTTAAATTTAAATCCCTTTTAATATTTAACACTACTCCATCGAATTTGAGTATTAAACGCTACAATAATAGTATATATGAATAAAACAAAAATTTATTGATTGGTAAAAGTATGAATATATATATTTGTGCTATTCATAATATTTCTATAATTTTATATTCGAGATATTAGGTCGATAAGAATTTCTTCATTTGTTTCAAAAAATTGGAATATTTGAATACTCATACAGAGTACTCTGTATCATATAGTTCGATATTTAATTGTAGTTACGAAAGTATATAAAATACTTTAATCTTTATGATCCTCTCACTTTTTTATATAATAAAAATGACCATAACTTTATCCAGAAGTTTTCAGTAGATCAGGTTTTCTTTTCTTTTTCAATTTGGTTAAATCTATTATGTAGCGTTTGTATGAAAAGTGTGTTTTTAATGTGTATTTGTAATTAATAATAAAGTAAACACTATATTAAATGTCTTAAAAAAACATTTTGGAGTTCCGATTTACTATTACTTTTTGAATAAATAATCCCGTATTTCCCGTATATTGGCTACTTAGTGTTTGCTTCCAACATTGATGTAAAATTGCCAATCAAAAAATGATTTTCTAATCAAAAATCAAACTAGCCGGAAGGACATGTCACAACTTAGTTTCTGGTGACAAAAAGAACATTTGTTTTGATAACTTTTGTTTTTGTAATCCGCGATGATCTGTTAGGACTTGTTGAGAATGATGATGGTTTTCATAAAGGAACTCGTCGATTTCAACGACTTAGGGTCCTTTCGATAACTCGTTCGTTTCTCTGATAATATAAAATGTAGCATGCTCTTGTTGAAATCAGAAATCATTCAGACTATAATCACGCACACAGAAAAATATATCGTTTTTTTTCTCGGATTACATTCCTATATAAGTTCCACTCAGTCATGTCACCAGGATCAAACAATGCGTTTTTGAGTATATATCTGTAACTGATTAATTAGTTTAGGTCTTTCATAATACAAATATGACAAGCTTTTTTTTTATCGACAATCGACAATCCAATCCAAAAGTTTTAATAAAATTCTACTAAGTCTTTGTATTATGATTTGCCAAATGTACTTCAATATCGAATTAATGTTAACAGATTTGAATATAGTATTTAAATATAATATTGTAAGAAAATATCGAAAAATCGTTTATAAATATAATCGTTTTTATATATAAGCATAAGGGGTTTTAAAGCGTCTATAAACTTGTAACTAATACTTTTTATTTATTTTTTTATAATATATATCACCTTAACATAGTTTCTATACTTTATTTAAAGGTTTGTTACAAACTCGTTGGTCCATTATAAAACAGCGTTATGTGGATGAGTTGCAGAAAGAGCGCCATTCGCATTACACACAACAAGTTTTCCATTCAACTTGGGAGCATTTCGACCGCATGTCATTTATGCGCGATATTTTGGCTAGAAAAGTTGATGAACGTGAACAGACACGCGAACACATACAAGAAATTGTGAGCGAACAGCAACATATGCAGACGCAGCACTTGCGTTTCGAGCCACGCAACTCTACGATGGTTGCTATGCAAACTGGATTGACTGCTGCAGAACATGCAGGAATGGTCTATGATGAGGGTGTAGCAATGTCACTTGGATTGACAAGTGAAGGTCCTGTACTATCGGGGGCGGTGCATGGACTGACACCAAATCGTAGGCGTGTGAAAACCGAACATGACTTGGAATGGGATCCATTTGAAATGATATTACATGTGCAAGGCACAGAGACTACTGCTAACAAGTAATTAACAACAATCAAGAAGACTGAGAAACTTTGATCTTATTTATATTGATATTTAAATCATTTTTCATATTATATTTTTCGTATAAAACACTTTATGTAACTTATAAATTTGATATGAGTTTATTTTTCTATAAAATAGAATAAAAACATTTAAATAAATATTTTGAAATGTGATTTTAATTTCCGTCAATAGCCTGATTGCATTACATTGCATTCACGTGTTAGCAAAGTGCGAAGCTATGTTAAGTTTTTATTCGTAAGTATAAGATATTAAACTCTACTATATTCACCCTCTCCTTAGGAATACGTTCATGGGTATACCAATAAACGTATTTAAGTTGCTGGTTGGCTCAATATGCGATTTGATAAATATGTATGTGATTTTTCGATCTTTTTTTCGACTTTCAACCATAATAGATGAATTTTCTTATATGTGTATATTTTATTACTACAAATTTCTAGCGTAGCACACAAATAACACGTTTTTTAATGTATTTCTGTAGATTTGCTTACCAACACTTAAGCTAACGTTAACTTTCCCGCAAATGCAAAATTCATATCACGCACATCACGTAGTAAAGTTTTGTCAAAACTCTGAACCGTTTATAAATCAGCTACAGACTCAAGTTTAAACGAAAATATTTAGAATTCGTGTGCGATGATGATTGAAAGGATTTCTTTGTTCCCAGCCGCCCATGTAGTCCTGCTTAGCTTAAGCTGTAAATGCATTCTGATGTAAAATTTACCGCATATTACACACGCGCCAAATTACTTAAATATTTTACATTTGGGGTTT